CTCTCGTGTGCCATTGTCATAGACTTGATATTAGGGATAGAGACAGGATAGACGAGGCGTCAATTAGAACTAGTTGGCTGACAGTAGGTTTTACAAAAGACGTGGTCCATCTAGCAAAGGCATGCCCATGAGACTTATTCAGAGGCTTTAGCCTCGAATTAGTAACCCAGGTGCAGAGGAGGCAAACAACGCCTCGAGTAGCACAGCTGGGGAGACAGGAGTCGAGTGATATACATGTACCAGGGAAATAGCAGACGGATTCTACCGGGCATTCAATGCGCATAAATCTTGTGAGTTCTGAACACCCTAGTTAATCAGGTCTCATATTATTCATTTCTACCCTATGTTTCATTGCCTCTCTTCCAAATCCTATCTAATAACCACAAGTAACATCTGCAAAATTTCATGCATTTTTCGCTTTTATATAATATATTGGTCGTTTAAATGGTCTCTTTAGGCCTGTAATCTTCTGGATACTTGCGTATTTTTCCTATTATGCTAAGTGATTAGTTCAAGTAAACACTTATGTATGGGTTGACAAATACATAACCAAGTAAACTTTAAACCACTTGCAAGCAGTAACATGCTAATTTCAGGAAATAGGACAATAGACAAAATATCATAATAGACATAATATAGAGAAGAAATTTTTATCTTCATCGAATCTTTTAATAATTTAACCTTACTCTAGATATAATTTAAAAGAACTTTTTGGTTGAATGCGATATTTTATCTTGGCTCAACAAAAAAAGACCTGCAGTAAAAACTGTTTGATTGTGTGAAGTAGTCCTTAGCTCAAAATATGGGAAAAAATGAGCCAAAGCTGTCTCTGTGTAATCCATCAGTCTTCACACCAAATCGATGCAATATCAATTTCCGATCAAGCTATATCACGAATCCCCTTACATATCTTGATTATTTCTAGAAAATAAAAATTATTCTATAAATTTTAAAATTAAAAATATAAATAAAATTTTATTTATGCAACAAAAATTAATATTTGTTAAAATTTTGAGATTAGGTTCGCGTGTATATGATTTTTTCTCCTCGCGTTTATAGTCCACGTTGCGGTTCCATCATTTATTCTATAATGTCCACCTTTACCAAAATAGAATCTGGCACCGCATTTACTTCAGAATACCGACTATTTCTTGGTATATATCATAGCTTGTTTGCTTTTCCTTCTATACCTAGCCAGAAATTTAAAACTTTCCTATTTTACAGAAACGCATTCCGGACCCATCTCGTTATTCCATGATATTCCTCTCTTAGCTGATGATTCGAAAAAAATTTTTAACATGCTTGTCGAAATTCCTAGATGGACTAATGCTAAAATGGAAATTTGTAAAGAGGAATACCTCAATCCTATTAAGCAAGATATCAAAAAAGGACAGCTGAGATATGTAGATAATGTGTTTCCTCACAAGGGCTATATGTGGAATTACGGTGCACTACCACAGACTTGGGAGGATCCTAATCATTTCGACAAGGATACTAATGCCAAAGGTGACAACGACCCTATTGATGTGTGCGAAATCGGCTCTCTGATTTTTGAACGAGGCAGTGTCGTGCCAGTTAAAATTTTAGGGATACTTGCAATGATCGATGAAGGTGTATTATTTTTATCTAAGATCTTATTTTATTTAGGTGAAACCGACTGGAAATTAATTGCCATCCACGCTAATGATCCTCTCGCGAAAGACCTTGATGGTAAATCCACCTATTTTCTACGGTTCTAGATATATCTGATGTAAATAAGCATATGCCTGGGTTCCTAGAGGTAACTGACTTAATGTATATGTTCGCAGAGTTCTCGTAAGTGGTTTGAGAACTACAAAGTACCTAACGGAAAAGGAAAAAACAGATTTGCTTTTAATGGGGAATTTAAAGACAAGGTAAGTTCTATACATTTTTTATACTTATCTTAATTATGTACGTTAGATATGTTTCTCTATAATAATTCATTTTGCATTTCTTCAAGGCTAGCCTCACTGTATTACCCCAAACCTGATTAATTATCTTCGTTATTTTATAAGCAAAATTCCAGGCATCTATTTACTGCTAAAATTGTATTAAAGCTGAGTTTGTCTCTTTCTGAATTTGTATATACGTGAAGTAAATTTCTAGGTAACAACTTTAATGCTTTTCTATAATCACTGTTTTTCTTTTATTTATATAGCTTTATGTGTGTTCTGTAGGCATTGCATTTAACAACTAATGTTAATATCCTTCTTTAGCATTAATTCAGAACCTAGTGAATTAAGTCTTCCTTCACCGTAAACCCGATTATCAAGCTTTATATTCTCGCCATGTGCTTACCATCTACTTCTTATCTTCGATCACATTAACCTATATTTTTGGCAGGACACATCAAATTATCGAACTATAATAAAATCTACCTTTATGCGTCACTTAAGAAAAGCCCTTCTGTCCATTGA